CAGGCAGACACCTTATGGGCCTTGAAGGAGCATCAGGAAGCTGCTCTCACATATGCTGCATCTTTCTTGCTCATTGTGATAAGCTGGCTTCCAGTGGGTCTTAGGTGTCACTTTCTTTTTCATCACTGGGTATTGTTGAACCCAGGGCCTTTTCACTGAACTAAATCCTTATCTCTTTTATACTTTCTAGTTTGAGACAGGAACTTGCTAAGTTGCTAAATTGCCCAAAACTGGGCTCAAAGTTGTGATTCTCCGTGTCTCAGCCTCCCTCAGTGCTGGGATTTCAGGCATCTGCAGGCATCCCAGAGTTCTTCTTTCTTTAATATTTTATCCTCTTGATTCTATGATATTACTATCTTCTACTTCTTAAGTCTACTTCACTTGCAGCTAAGTTCATCTTTCTCTTATCAAGTCATCAATCACGGGAGCTTTTCAAAGCTTTGGCCTGGTCTTCTTTTCTTACTTTACTTTTCTCCCCTACATAATCTAACATGGAGCTTCCCAAACCTTTTCACATAGTGGTACACAGAGAAATGACAATATTCGTATGACTATTCAGAGCTGAAGGCCACTAGTCAGAAGGCTCAAATCACTACCTTAGTATAATTATGTTCTATCACCTGCATATTCTATGGCACAGGGGTCTGGCTAAGAGGCATTCTGAATCAGCATCTGTGTATTTAGCTATCACCACTATGCAAAAGCACATTATTTTATATTTTCAGTCCAGGTCTCATAACTTAGTACTACCCCTATGGATCGAATTGTTGCACATATTCTTGGATATTTGAAATGTTTGGAAAGCTTTGTGTCTAAAACTAAGCTCACGATTCCCGGTGCTGCCCAAAACTTGGTCCTCATCTGGTGCTTAATGTCTTAGTTTAGGTAATTAAAATATTGAGTTGTAACAGGCAGATTTCAGGAGATATCCTTGCCACTACCTTCTTACTCCCTTGGGTTATCCAGCAACAAGCCTTTCTTAGTCTACCTCTTTAATGTCATCCTTTGCTTCCCATTTCTACCACAACTTGAATCCAAGCTATCATTTAGTATATATCGTTAAATATACCTGAGTTATTACAGTAACCAAGTAAGTCCTCTCATCTATTCTAGCCATTCCTCATACTCACTGTCTACAGAATGATTTGATATAAACATATGTGTGTGTGTGTGTGTGTGTGTGTGTGTGTGTGTTCCATCCATCCCTATAAGACAAATTTCCTTAACATAATCCACAATGCACTAATATTCATTATTATGGTCATTTTTATATATAAAACAAAATCTTAGTGTAAAACAACAATTTCATGCTAATGCTTATGTTGATTGGCCTCAGTTGGGTAGTTATCACCTACAGCCTCATGTAGTAAGAGTTTGGCTACATCCACTTTGCATTGATGGCATCTTCATTCACATATCTGAAGGCTAGGCAAATAATTTCTCTCCATGGAACTTCACTCCACATCACTCGTTTGGGGTTCCTTCAAGAATGACATCCATCCCCAGTATATGACACTTCCTACACAAGTTGCTTTTCCTAAAGTGCACCTTCAAGAGACCAAGGTAAAAGCTATAAATCCTCTTCTAACAGCCTCCAAATTTATTCAATTTATTTTCTACCTTGTTCTAGAGATCAAAATCAAATCAGAAGATCAGTAAGAATGAAGAGGTGAAACGATGCCAAGGCTTGAATATCTGCATTCACAATTCATGGCAGGAGTCTTTGAAGACCATACCTACATGTCCATTTTCTTCTTGCACTGCATTCTCTGTTTCCATCCATCTTAATGCACTGGACTTCCCTCAGTTCACATACTTGCTGTCCTCTATCCTGCTGAAGGATTTGCTCATACCACTTACTTTCCCTAGGATGCTCAATACCATTTTGCCAAGATAGCTACCACTGAACATTTAGATCTCATTAATGCCTCAGAAAAGCCTTCTTTGTCTTCTCTAATAAGGTTAAACTATAATGTATACTCTCCAGGCTGCAGTCACATTTCCAACATGGTCCTCATCTGCTTTTATTTTTTCATTTGTTTGGCTGAATATGTAATTTAGGTCTCAATATTTTCCAGTATGCTAGAAAAGAAGGCTGACTATGTTTTTCATCTCCTACAATACAGCTTGCTAGTGTGTCAATGTTGTGTATGTGTATATGCGTGTGTGTGTGTGTGTGTGTGTGTGTGTGTGTGTGTGACTGCATGAAAAAAGTGAATGAAAGTATCTCTGTAAAACAAAGTATTTTCTCCCTTTAAGATGTATGGTATATATAGTAATCACATTCTCATACTCAAAACTGTGTATATATAATTAGACAACCCACCTATAAAGAATTTTTGTCAGAGGAATCTTATAAATTTAAAGATCATATTTGTTTGCCATATAAATTTTATAGATGGATATAGTAATCAATTAATATATCCAACCTGTGAGTTTTATATTCATTTTTTCAAATTTCCTTCTGAGACAAAGTTATCTTTAATTTTAATTTCTATGCCTACATAAAAGATGTCAATTGTACCAAATGGAGCATTCTAATCAAGAGAAAGAGATTTTTCTACTCTCCACAGGACTCCACTAGTGACAGTGGAGGTCACTCAAAGCGCTGCCCTTACAAACCTACACAGACTGTCATCAGACCACATGATTCTTCTTGGGCTAAAATCTGATACACAATGCTAACTACTCCTCATTCCATTATTAATAACATAGCTAGAAATAAAAATACTAAAACTTTTAACCCAGAACAGGGGTAGGAACTATTGTTTATGTTCCTTAGAAGGTGACACAAGAGCAATGGGTTGTATAAGACAAAATACACTTATGGTTCTTCTGGTTGTTCTTTTAAATAAATGTTTGGGTAATTATAAATAGTATTATAAACTAAATTTCATTATTTAAAAGTACATTCTATTTCTGGTCTTTTGAATTCCAACTCACAATTCTAATTGTTTTCAACTACCAGCATCATCTGGCCTAGTGGCAGAAGTTTTCTTGCAATCTAAATTCATTCAGCCAGGCATTTACTTACCTTTATGACCATACAACAAGAACTCCATGAGGCCATTAGTTTGGCCAGTCTTGTTCACCTAGAGCACTGTGTTGCCCAATAAATTATTGAAAAGAATAGCAATGGCCTTGAAGATTATTACTCAGAATACTATTGTGCATATTACTCAGAATATAACCATATGAAGATGGTCATTTGTTATTAATCAAGGAAATATATTGTCAAAAATACTAATAAAATGGCTTCATTTCTCACTTTTTTGTGCTTCTTGCTTTTTAGGTATTATACCACATAAAATCAGTGTTTCTAATTATCTAAATAACTTTTTCTCTGCAGCTGAACTGGAACATATATATATATATATATATCATAGTTTGAGAATTTTGACCAGGTTAAAGAAATTTATGAAAATAGTAAGTCAACACACAGGTCCAAGAGTATGTGTTACCAGTTTTAATATAGCCACAAGTTGACTACAAATACAAAAACAGGAATCCAAAACAGATGGCATAAAAATAGATTCTAGGTTAGTTACTTAAATCAAACTAGGCCTCTTAATAAATTGTCAAATGTTTTGTCTTTAAAAGGCTTATTCAATGAAGTTGAAACATTCATCAAGAAATTAGTGAATAGCAGTTTAGATAATAGCAAAATATTACATCAAATTGCTCCCCTCCCAGGAAATCCTCCTACCTGGTGTCCTCTGATACTGTTAATTAATACTGACCAACAAACATGACTTGTGGGCTTTCTGTGGGTGTGTTTCTGTTTCACTTTACATCTTACCTCTCAAGCCTTCAATCACTGCATTATTCACAGCTAAATGTCTTTCTCTTTGTCCTTCTCCTTGTTAAGTGGGGGTTAAGAGCTAGATAGTTGATTTTCAAGCTATAATGTGTTAGATGGAAAAATGGAAAGACTAGACAAGTTCAATCTGCTCTACAGCTACTCCATCTTCAGGCTTGAATTTAGAGAAAGTTGTGTTACACAAAGCATGACTTGCCTGTATTTTCAAAAGCATTAACTTTTGTCTCCCTGGGATTTTAGATTTCACTCCCACTCCACCAAAAAAGAGAAAGACGCAGTAGAGCTCCCTCTGCAATTGCCCTCAGTGCTGATCTCCAGCGTTGCTGCCATTCTTTAGATGGCCTGACTCCACCTTATTTTTACTATAGTATAATCACTGAAAAGGATTAGAACAAAGACAGGTCTTTGCATAAATTGAATAGTTTGCCAGATTGATTCCCCTTCCCTTGTTTCTCCACATCCCATTCAATTAAATTTTTTGTTTTTATATTTTTAAAAAAGAAGCAGAAACATATGCCGTATTAACTTGGGATACTTTTTAGAAGTTAATCTCAGCCTCACTCAGATATGTATAAAAATATCTCTTCTTGTCTATCAGAAATATGGTTCTTCTCAGCTAAAGCTAACATAATACTCTTTACAAGTAGGATTAATACTCAAGGGCAAGAATTTCAGAGATACTAGGAATATTGATTAATCATATTTGCTTTGGTAAGTCAATTTCTTAAATGAACAGAAAGCCGGTGGTGAATATAACAGATGCATATTGCTCAAGCTGAAGTCCTTTCAAGGACAGATGCTAAGGTAAGCAGTATTCCAGGCTTCAGAGTAACCCAAAGGGATTTGTGAATAACTGTGAAAGATTTACACCACCTCCCCGCTGCACTTGGGAGTTGCTCTGAAAACAGCAAAGCTCAGCTTGGGAAACCCTTGCCACATTGAGTATCCCTGGGCAAGAGGCGATGAAATATACGCAAGCACTCTTCCAGCAGCGGCTGCAAGGGCAGCAGAGCCCTGCAGCGGAAAGCCCTGGGCAGGCCGGCGAGCTCAGGAGGGCGCAACCATCATCCTTCTCCACCAGCCCACGGGAAGGGCTCCTATCCATCTCTAAACTAAGGCTCCTGGGTCTTCACCATGCAAGGCTTTCCCCAGCCAAGTAACAAGGTCCAGCCGGCCTTACCTCTGGGGCTGCTTTCTTGCAAGTACGGTGGGGCAGTAGGAGTGACATTTCCCGAGTGGGCTGCAGATAGCAGCGGCGAGCGTTCGTCCACGCCATCAGCAGCCATGACTGCAGCGAGGCGGAGAGAGCGGGCCCAGGTGCGGTGTCCACAGAGGTGGAGGGTAGCACTGCTGCGGCCGGCCGCTGAGCCCGGGCTGTGTCAGGCTGCAGGCGGGGGCGGGGGTGGGAAGGCATGTGGAGGAGGGGTAAGAGAGGGGAGGGGGAGGAAGAAAGAGCCGGGTGGGGAGGAGGGGTTGTAGGGGGCGGGGGCCCGGCTGGCCAGAGAGAAAGGAAGCAAATTAGGGAGGATGGGGCAAGGGGGACGGACCAAAGGGAGGGGCCAACGGGATGGGGGTGTGGTGGCCAAGTCCTTCCTCTGGGGAAAAGGTGGATAAAGAGCAGCCTGAAAGGGGCCAGGAGGAAGGTCTGGGACTTGATTACAGGAAAAGTAGAGCAAACACAGACCTAAAGTGTGGCTCCTCCAGGAAAGAGGAGAGGCTGACCCCGCGGTCAAACTTTGCAGCAATTACGTAAAAAAGCTCATCCGTGCTTTCTTGAGGGCGTTCTTTTGTTAGGAAGCAATTGTTCAATGTCTGTTGTCTAAGAGAAGGTAGGTTCTGCATGAATGCCGACAGACTCTATTTTCCTTATTGTCAATTATTTTCCTTTCTAATATGAGTGTTGGCATTACCTGGTTGGTTCTTAAGCAACTGTTATTTATTGAAGCTGTGAGGCGATGTTGGATTTTACAAGCTTCATTTTATGAAATACACTGCCATTTCGTTTTGGTTTTGCGTTATACACACAAACTCAATAATGATATTTATGTATAAGGGAAGGGAATTAACGACCACTTTTCTTGAGATCATGTTTTAAAATAAAATTTTATTGGTAAAAGTTTTAAAAGCAGCTCAGCATAGTTCTTGCCTCATAGGGGCTTTTTTTTTTTTTTTTCCTTTTTTTTTTTCTTTTATGGTGGTTTGCCATAATATCCTTAAGTGGTTCATATAGCTATAAAAATAATCAAAGTTTTGAACACTCCCAAATAAAAAGAAATAGAAATAAATTTTCTGCAAAAATATTTATTACTTGCTTACTGTATCTACATGGACATTAGGTTTAAAAAAAGATGAAAAATGAAGCTGGTAATCTCAGGTATAGATTCCAATGAACATAAGGAAAAGTAGATCTTAGATATCTGAAAGTACATCTTGTATTACCTGAAGAAGGGTCCTTATTTTGCTCTCTGAAGGGAAAATCCAGATGGAAGTTCATAGAGAAAATCAAACAATACTTTCCTTTATACAGCATCTTTCGTGGGTCAGTAGCACAAGGAAAAAATTTAAAGTTGCCCATACAATGTAACTAATCCAAAGGTTAACATAGAGGTGTCTAGAAACCTAGAAAATGAATACTCAAGATATAGCACGTATTGTAAAAGTGCCTATAATTTACAAAACAAGCACTATTACTACAGGTATTGTTGACTGGAGGCTATTGAATTAAAGAAAACTATAGGAAGAATTAACAGATCCTATTAGTCCAGTGCTATGGTTTCAGTGAATATTGCCCCAAAGATCTATCCTAAAGGCTTTGTCTCCAGGATGGCAATATTAGGAGGTGCTATGGACCTATAAGTGGTGGGCCTCAGGGGAGGTCCCCAGGTCTTGGGCATGTCCCTGAAAGGGTTAGTTTGGAGCCTAGTTGGAGCCTAGTCTCCCAGTGTCTCTCTACTATCTGGGTATGATGTGTCTGTTAGCTCCAACATGTAATCACAACATTGCCACCTGCAGTCCTCATCAGAGTCAAATGAAGTGGATCACCTGACTTTGAATTTCCAGACTGCAAGCCTTTCTATAAGTTAATTGCCTAGGAATTTGTTTGTGGTGATGCCAATGTGACTAATATATCTTGTATTTTTTTAGGGAACCCATCCTATGGCACCTCACTATAATGGTATTTGACTTTTCATTGCCCCATTTATCCCTCCATGCCCTGATTTTAGTATACCAGAAATCATGTACATATTTTGATGGGTATGTTGGGGCATACCTGGAATCCCAGCACTTCAGGAGTTGATGCAGGAGGATTTTAAATTTGAGTCCTACCTAGGCAATTTAGTGAGACCCTGTCTCAAAACAAAAAGGGCCAGAGATGTGCCTTATTGTGAAGTCCCTAGGTTCAGTCCTTAGCTCCAGAGAGAAAGAGGAAGACAGACAGACAGAGAGAGAGAGAGAGAGAGAGAGAGAGAGAGAGAGAGAGAGAACATATATATCTCATTCATGATATCACCAATATCTAGCATAATAGTAGTATGTGTGCAATATTTGCCAAGTAAATAAATGATTGAAAAAACCCCACAAAATTTCAATATCTTACTAAAATACTTTAGTATTAAAAAGTTAAGAACATTTTATGAATTCTTTGTTTAAGAGGTAGTCTTACTATGTTGGCCAGCCTGGCTCCAAAATCCTGGCTCAAATAATCCTCTTGCCCTAGCTTCCAGTGTAGCTGGGACTCCAGATGTGCACCACCATGCCCAGCTCTGTCATGAGCTTTTGATGAACACAGTAGTCTTGCCTTTGCCTGAATGTTTTCATTATTCCATTATATGTCCTTAGCTAAGGTTTTGTTTTCCCATCAAGTAATGGCCAGTATAAAGGATTTCTTCTTTAGTCCTTTATATGCTTTTGTATCTACTTTAGAACTTATATGAGGTTAATGGCAGTTACTTTTCTTGTACTATAAAAGGCAGTGAATATATTTGTACCAAAACTTTTTATTAGATGAGTATCTTTTCATTCTAGGTTAAAGATAATACTATGGTTTATAATTATATAAAAATGTTTCTATTGGAATACTAGTTATTTATACACAAATAATAAGAGATATAATGTATTTAAATTATTGCTGCAGTGAACTATTACTAAATAGCAAACCACACCAAAGTCAGTAGCTTAATACTTGACTTGTTATTTTTCATGATTTTTTTCTTTTGTGGAACCAGGGATTGAACTCAGGCCCTTGCGCTTGCCAGGGAAGAACTAATTCTACTGAGCCATCTCCCTGGCCTCTATTTTTCATGATTGTTATGCTTCATATGTAGATGTACCCAAGAGCATCATGTAGTCATACGAAAGGGTTTTTGAATGTGACTAAATAATGGACATTTGCAGCCTACTTGCTGTTGGAAAATGGGGTTCTGGTTACAGGGGGTGTGACCTGGAAGAGTTTGTCTCCTTCCTTGGCCTTCCCTTCTCTATTTCGTGGACACCATGACATGATTAGCTTAACTCTGCTGTGTCCCTCTATTTTGCTGCCCTGCCCTGTAGTCCCTGGATTATAGATCCTATAATAAACTGTGAGCCAAAATAAACCTTGCTCCCTTAAGTAGTGGGTATCAGGTATTGTATCTCTGAGATAAGAAAAGTGACTAAGACAGTGGTTTTCTGTAGGCTGTTATTGTGGTTTTGTCAGACTTGCCTTGGTATACTCCAGCAACAGCATAGAGCTGGCAGGTTTACTGGGAGGTGGGCTCAGCTGGGACCCTTGGAATGGCTGGCTGACTCCATATAATTTTCATCCTAGGCCTTTTCACATCATGGGCACTATCAAAGCAGTATTCTTAGGGTGATAGTGAAAGCTAAGAAAAGATGAGCAAGGCAATGATCCTGAGAATATTCAGAAGATTCTTTAATCTAGGAGTTAATTGGAAAGATTCTCACCCTGACTAACTATATATA